AACAAAAGGTGGTATATAGTCATGTGTCACATAAAGATGTATGGGTAAATGATGGACCGCATATACTACAGTAGTCTCATAAGATTAGAATGAAGCTGCCCTACATAGGTGTACTATTTTTTTATCTTTTATACTGTATTTTTAAAATACTTTTCCTATGTTTACTTATGTTTATTTTCTTTTTTCTTTTTTTTTTAATGGGTATGGACTTTCTGTTTGGGGTGATGAAAGGTTTTGGAAACAGTGATATGGTTATACAACATCATGGATGTAATTAAAGACACTGAACTGTACCCTTAAATATGGGTAAAATGGAAATTTTGTTATATTTATTTAGCACAAAACGGGGGGCACTGAACAGACCCCTTACCAAAGACAACATATGGATGGTAAATAACTCCTGGAAAAGATGCTAACATCATCACTCAACAGAGAAACGCTAACTAAAACAAGGAGATACCGCTAAGAATGGCTACATACCCCGAGAATGGCTAAAATTCACAAAACCAAACATACCAACTGCTTGCATTAATGTGGAGGAATTGGAACTCTCATTCACTGCTGGTGAGAATGTAAAATTATAAAACTATTTCCTTTTTTTTCTTTGAGACAGAGTTTTGCTCTTGTTGCCCAGGCTGGAGTACAATGGCACAATCTCGGCTCACTGCAACCTCCACCTTCCAGATTCAAGAGATTCTCCTGCCTTAGCCTCCTGAGTAGCTGGGATTACAGGCACGCACCACCATGCCTGGCTAATTTTCTATTTTTATTAGAGACGGGGTTTTCCATGTTGGTCAAGCTGGTCTCGAACTCTCGAATTCAGGTGATCCGCCCGCTTTGGTCTCCCAATCCTTTTTTTAATTTAACCTTCATCCCTCTTCTCCTCTCCCTCTTTTGAAGTCCCTGGTGTCTAGCATTTCCCCCTTTATGTCCACATATGCTCATTGTTTAGCTCTCAGATACAAGTATTTTAGAAGATAGCTGGGCAATTTTCAAAATGTTAAACACACATCTACCATATAATCTCTATCCATTCCATTCCTAATTATTTACCCAAGAGAAAAGAAAGCTTCTTGTACACGAATGTCGCAGCAATTTTCATTGTAATAGCAAAAACTGTAAACATGCCATATGTTCATCAATAGGTGAATGCATAAACAAATTGTGGTAAATACATACAATGGAATACTACTTAGCAATAAAAAGGAATACTACTGATACACAGTATTTTTGCTGAGTGAAAAAAGCCAGATCCCTAAGAGTACATATTGTATGATTTTCATTTGTGTAAAATTCCAGAGCATGCAAACTTATCTTTTTCCTCTTTTTCCATCCCCCCATCTCTGAAGCAAACCTATCTATTGTGACAGAAAACAGATCAGTGGTTGCCTGGGGACAAGGTAAGTAGAGGGAGGAATTACCAAGAGGCACAAGGAAAGTTTTGGGGATGACAGATACATTCACTAACTTGGCTGCAGTGATAGTCTCACAAGAGGATATATATGTCAAAACTGTACACTTGGCCACGCGCAGTGACTCACATCTATAATCCTAGCACTTTGGGAGGCTGAGGTGGGTAGATTACCTGAGGTCAGGAGTTTGAGACCAACCTGACCAACATGGTAAAACCCTGTTTCTGCTAAAAATACAAAATTAGCCAGACATGGTGATGCATGCCTATAATCCCAGCTGCTTGGAAGGCTGAGGCAGGAGAATCACTTGAACCCAGGAGATGGAGGTTGCAGTGAGGGGAGATCGCATCATTGCATTCCAGGCTGGGCAACAAGAGCGAAACAACATCTCAAAAAAAAATAAAAAAAAAGAACAAAACAAATAAAAAACTGTACACTTTAAACATGTGTAGTTTATTGTATGTCAATTATACCTAATAAAAAATGACTGGCTTGAAAACAAGTAGGCAAGCAATTAATATTTGCTGAATGAATGAACAAATGATCAGTGCATTCAGGAACCAAGACAGCCCTAGAAAGAAAGGTCAGAATCAGATCTGGACGGTCTGAACACAAGGCTAACATTCTTGGACTTTATTCTTTATGTAATAAATTTCTGAGGCTTCTGGGAAAAAAAAGACACCAGTGAAAAATATTAATATAGCAGCAGGACAGAAAATAGACTGGAGATAAGAAAAGACTCAAACCTGAGAGATCAGATAGAAAGTAATTAAATAATCTAAGCATGAGGTAACCAATGTTCATACTTCTCTATTAGCACGCTAATGATAAAAATAGAAAGGTAAGACAAATATAAGTGAAACCGGGAGATAATAACTAATTGCACTTAAAAATCATTGGTATAGGCCAGGCGCAGTGGCTCATGCCAGTAATTCCAGCACTTTGGGAGGCCAAGGAGGGCAGATCAGTTGAGGTCAGGAGTTCAAGACCAGCCTGGGCAACACAGTGAAACCCCATCTCTACAAAAAAAAAAAAAAAATTATATATATACACACACACACACACACACACACACACACACACACACACAAAAACAGCTGGGCATGGTGGAGTGCGCCTATACTCCCAGCAACTCGAGAGTCTGAGGCAGGAGAATCGCTTGAACCTGGGAGACGGAAGTTGCAGTGACCCGAGATCACGCCACTGCACTTTAGCCTGGGCAACAGAGCGAGACTCCATCTCAAAAAAATAAAAATAGAAAATAAAAAAATCACTGGTATAAAGTTTCCAGTTTGACTGGCAGAACAGAACAAAAAGTATGAACTTAGAGTTGGTTTGAGAAAATAACATGAATAATTTGATCTTCAACAAAGTTTAAGATGCTAGAAGGACAACAAGACAAGACATCCACAAGTTAGTGCTGAAGGAATAGATTTAGGAGCCATGCAGAGAGATGATAGCTAAAGCTGCTAAAGTAAATCAAATTTCCCAAAGTAGATGAACACTCCCAGAAACCTCAGAGTAGAGAACGAAGCAACAAGATCTTAAGAAATTAAGAAATAAATGCATTTAAGGGGCAGGAGGAAGAAGATGTAACAATGAAAAAATACAGAATCAATGAGGCATAAGGTAACAACCAAACACCATAAGCATATGGGACCTTCATCAAAAAAATCAGCCCAGATCCAGATTCTACCACTTAATTAACTATAGTAATGGAGGCCAATTACTTAATTTCTCTACCATCAGTTTCACTGTTTATTAAAACATAGGTAAGTGTTAATGTGTATTAGTTGCTATTTTAACAACTAAATACCTTACAAATAAGTAGATACAGTATTTTATAATTTCTTAATTACTTCTTAGCTTATCTCATTTAATGCCACAACCACCCTGTAAAGCAAATCCTATCTGAATTCTACAGCTGAGGAAAGAAAGCCAAGAAAGATTGAATCTCTTAGTTTTAGGAGTATGAGAACCAACATCATATTTAACTTGGTCTTCTGCACATGGTGCAGTGACAAAGAAAAGGCTATAGAGTTCTTGAACTTAATGGGTTCAAATCCAGTACCATCAATTGTGAGCTGTGTGACTAGAAAAAAATGATTTAAGTGTTACCAATACTACTCTTGACAAAGGCATATTTATCTTCCTTAGGCAAGAATAAGGAAACAGAAATTTTCTTTTCTTTTTTTTTTTTTTTGAGATGAAGTCTCGCTCTGTCGCCAGGTTGGAGTGCAGTGGCTCACTGCAACCTGTGCCTCCCAGGTTCAAGTGATTCCCCTGTCTCAGCCTCTTGAGTAGCTGGGACTACAGGCACATGCCACCATGCCCGGCTAATTTTTGTATTTTTAGTAGAGACAGGGTTTCACCATATTGGTCAGGCTGGTCTCGAACTCCTGACCTCAGGTGATCCACCCACCTCACCCTCCCAGAATTCTGGGATTACAGGCGTGAGCTACCGCGCCCAGCCGAAACAGGAAGTTTGAGGTGAAGAGCATGTGACCTCTTTGATTTTCTCAGGAAAATAAATAATTGAAGAGGAATGTGAACAAGGCAGTTTTCAACTATGCTCTGTAGATGTGCTATTGGACACTGGCACACACAACCAAACTTCCTCATAATGTTTTTTTGGTTTTTTGAGACACAGTCTCGCTCTGTCGCCCAGGCTGGAGTACACTGACGTGATCTCGGCTCACTGCAACCTCTGCCTCCTGGGTTCAAGCAATTCTCCTGCCTCAGCCTCCTCAGTAGCTGGGATTACAGGCACACACCACCACACTCAGCTAATTTTTGTATTTTTAGTAGAGACGGGGTTTCACCACGTTGGTCAGGCTGGTCTCAAACTCCTGACCCCGTGATCCGCCCGCCTCGCCCTCCTAAAGTGCTGAGATTACAGGCCTGGGCCACCGCTCCCAGCCAACATTCAAATTTTGTTTTTTGTTTTGTTTTGTTTTTTGAGATGGAGTCTCACTTTGTCACCAGGCTAGAGTGCAGTGGCGCTATCTCGGCTCACTGCAACCTCTGCCCTCCCAGGTTCAAGTGATTCTCCTGCCTCAGCCCCCTGGGTAGCTGGGACACAGGCGCATGCCACCACGCCCAGCTAATTTTTGTATTTTTAGTAGAGACAGGGTTTCACCATGTTGGCCAGGATGGTCTCGATCTCTTGACCTTGTCATCCACCCATCTCAGCCTCCCAAAGTGCCAACACTCAAGTTTTAAAGCCCCTAGATTATATTTATCTCTAGAGTGTCTTGCAACTATTTAAGATTAAACACTTTTTCTCCATCTTACTCACCAAACGCATATAAACTAGTCCTCTTCTGAGCCCCACAGCACTTCTTTAGTGTCTCTTTATGATACCACACATTCTTCAATATAAACATTCTAAACTCCATTCCCTCAATTAGATTTAGGCTCCTTCAAGGCAGGCAATTTGTCATTTACCTTAGTATTCCTCAACCCCAAGCACAATGCAAGCAAGCACTTTAGGGCAAAAAAATGTAAAATAAAAAGATAAGGGAAATGGTTAATCCTTACAATATATACTATATATACTAGCTACATGTAAAAAGAAATACAACTTACCCTAATACAGCTGAAACAACACAGCTTGGAGCAATGAGGACACAGGCGTGCATCCCGCAATTTCTCCATACAAATGAAACATCGGAAAACCTCAGCAATGCTCTGAAAACAATAAAAGATGTAAGATCCACCAGTTTAGGCTACTGAATCAAGAGTAAAAGGCAAGCTCAAAACAACTCAACATTTACATTTATTTTGGGCTGATATCTCTATTTTAACTATATTCCATATCAGGATTTGGTTGGTCAAGGTCCAGAGTACCTTAAAATATCTGGAAAATGTACTTCCATTTTTCTAAGCTTCATGATGATTCTATTCTAAGGAAAATATAGGAAATGCAAACACAGACTTATGTAGAAAAATTTTCACTGAAGCAGTAATTATAATGGCAAGAATCTAGGTACAGCCCGAATGTCCGAATATTAAGTAAATTACGGCAGTTACACAAAGATTAGTCACTAGAAATAGTTCATCTAATGATAACAGAAAAATGCATATAATGTACAACAGCAAGGAAAAAAGGCCCAGGCACAATGGTTCATGACTGTAATCCCAGCACTTTGGAAGGCCGAGGCAGGTGGATCACTTGAGGTCGGGAGTTCGAGACCAGCCTGGCCAAAATGGTGAAATCCCGTCTCTACTGAAAATACAAAAATTAGCCAGGCGTGGTGGTGTGCGCCTGTAATCCCAGCTACTCAGGAAGCTGAGGCAGGAGAATCGCTTGAACCTGTGAGGCGGAGGTTGCATTGAGCCGAGAGGGTGCCACTGCACTCCAGACTGGGTGACAGAGTGAGACTCTGTCTCAAAAAAAAAAAAAGGAAAAAAGGCAGACTATATGACTGAATACACAACACGAACTTTTTAACTTTTTCTGCAATTTCCCCAAAAGGTATAAACTGATTTTATAATTTAGAGGAAAAAGAAGTTTAAAAAGACACTTATCCTAAAGGCAGTGTACTGTGACCCAGAAAAAAATGAATTAAGAATCCAGAAATCTGAATTGCTGCCCTGATGTTAAAACCGACTAGCTACTTATTTGAACCTGAGATTCTGCCCCAATTGAAAATGCTGACGGTAGTTCAAAGCAATCTTGGGAACAACAACAACAAAAATATGTAAATACAAGAAACAGTATTATCTTTGCAAGTCTCAGTTTAATCAATTTAGGAAGTAACTGAAAAGTTTTTAACAAGAAAAAAAGATACAATTAAACGTACTGTTATTGTATTGTATACTTTGTTTTTATAGTACTGACATTTACTTTCACTCCATTCTAGAATTAAACCCTCCTAAAACCAAGATAAGTTTACAAAACCTTTATAATACTTTACATGAGGAATTAAGGAGAAAATTACTCATGAATCTCATCATGACTCTGTAAGGCCAGAAAGAACCTGGGAGATGCAGATTCTGTAACCTGCAACGGCGTGGACAACAAGACTACAGAATGACTAGTTTCAAGTGGAATATCCATAACACAGTTACCTCTTACTAAAGCGCAAGGATTTCCTATTTCAGTATCTGAAAGGTTCAAAATTTGATAATGATTATACAATTAAGTTCAATAAACAATCTTTTAAAAAATATTCCTAGCCTTTACTTACATATCCCAACTATTTTAACTCACAGCTTACAAGAATCAGTTATAAAAAGAACAGTTTGTTCTGGAAACTACACGAGATAATATATGCTGATTCAATCTAGGAAGGAAGGGCAGAAGCTTGCAAAATGTGCCACTGAGAGGGAAAGATGATTATCCATTTGGAAGGAGATTTAGATCAGCTCAAGAACTCGTAAGGACTGGTGGCGAGTGGCAGGGTACGTCCATTTGATGAATCTGCAGTTTTGCTCGGAACAGGATGCAGTTTGTAAATACCCGGTGGGGATGAGTACCTGTGCCAAGACATCCTTGAAAACTCCAGGATACGCACCACCTGACTGCGGAACAGTGAGCACAAGACACCCGGAGCGCTGCAGAATGAGAACGGCGTCCTTGGTACAGGGCCAGCCCTCTCCACAGCGGCAGGGGTGTGGGGTAGGGGTGCCCTACCGGAGGGAGGACATGGGCACGGCTCCCCGAACAAAAACCGCTCATCGGGTGGGGGCGGGGACTAACCACCACCCTCACAACCCCCTCACCTCCACGCTCTGTTCATCCATTGCCTCCGGCTCTCGGCGAGGCCGTTGGCGACCCGCGGGCTCCGTAGTCTGACCTCAGGCGCCGGCCCGAGGTCGCCAGATCAAATCACCTAGAGAAGCCCGGCGCCCACGTCAGGGGGCTCCGACAACAGCCCCACCTGCGTGCCCCATCGCTTCAGGTCCAGCGCCGACTACCCCCATTTCGCCATTTTTACCGGCGCGCCCGCCCCGGGGCGCAGAGGTAGGGCGAGCAGTGGCCGCGGCTCCTTTCTCCGGGCTCACCCGCCTGCCAGCAGCCGCGAGGGAAATCTCGGCCCACGTGACGCGGGCGCGCGCGTATGGAACCGCCGCTGGAGTTTGGCGGAGAAGGCGCCGCAGAGAATTCGCAAACACCAACTGTAACCAGGACAGCTGGGGGCGAGGCGGCGAGAGAAGCCGCGAAGCGCATGCGCGCAGGACGCTGCGGGAGGAGAAAGGAGGGGAGGAGCGTGGAAGGTTCGCCTAGTTCCCGCGTTGCGGGGCGCACACGAGACTTGGCGACTCGCTGCCTCAGGGTTGCGTGCCTCCGGCCCCAGCCTGCGTAGGCGGTCTGAGCGTGGGGCTCCGCTACGCCCCGCCCACCTCGGCGGAGGGCGGGGACCCACGGCTCTCAAACTTGCGCGCCAAAGACGGAGCCACCTGGCGCACTAGTGGAAAGCGGTCTTCGGAGCCACACCCCTAGGTATTCGGACTCTGAGATTTTTAGGGTGGGGCCCAGGCCATCCACGTTTTCACCCAACATTGTGTGTGATTCGGTAGCAGGTGGCCTGTGGCCCGCACTTTGAGAAACCCTGGTGCACAGGGTTAGTGGTTAGTGGTTCTCTCTGGAAGAAAGAGTCTAAGGTTTGTAGGACTTGGGTTCCACCTACCAAAGCAAATTGAGTTAGAAGGCTCCAGACTGTGAAGCCTGAAGAGGTGTCATTTCTCATTCCAGTGGTGAGTGGACGGGACCACACACTGTGAAGACTTCATTCCCACATCCCACACTTCATTCTTGCCGCATAAGTAAGTTGTCGCAGTGGGACTATTGAAAGGGTATCAGCGATATTCATCTTTCCTATAAATGGGATCTGCTTTCTACAATTTCCTGCCAGAAGAGATGTGTAAAGATTGCAAGAATTGAAGGTGTGTGAGACAAAGAGGGCACATCAAATTCATAATTTGAGTTTAATTTTTCCTGTATTTATTGCAAACAACTAATTATACTTAATCGACCTGGAGTGCACATGTAGAGAATCACTAATAATCTAGAAACAAGTTCTTGAATATCAGGCATTTAGGCTTATAGGTGGTGGGTAGCAACAATTTATTTTAACTACGTGGGTCATGAACAAGATATAATTTAGAAAGATTAATCTGAGACTGAAAAATGCTTTCAGTAAGAATTATTTGTGGTCTTTGAACTACATGGAGCTGATGGTTGTATAACGCTATTTTTACGAAAATGCCCTCAGTTGTACATTTTTAAATGGTTGATGGTTAATTTTATGTTATGACAATTTTACTTAAAATAATTATAGAATGCAGTGCTAGGCCGGGCGTGGTGGCTCATGCCTGTAATCCCAGCACTTTGGGAGGCCAAGGCGGGCGGATCACCTGAGGTCGGGAGTTCGAGACCAGCCTGACCAACATGGAGAAACCCCCGTCTCTACTAAAAATACAAAATTAGCCGAGTGTGGTGGCGCATGCCTGTAATCCCAGCTACTAGAGAGGCTGAGGCAGGAGAATCGCTTGAACCTGGGTGGCGGAGGTTGCGATGAGCTGAGATGGCGCCATTGAACTCCAGCCTGGGCAACAAGAGTGAAACTCCGTCTCAAAAAAAAAAAAAAAAAAAAAGAATGCAGTGCTGTACTTGGGATTCAGAGTAATGAGAAGTGAGTGGGCCTTGCTCTCAAGGCGCAGTGTAGAAGACAAATAAGACAAATTGCAATACTTATATGGTAAATAGTAAGATAGATTCTTGTATGTTTGCCGAAGAATCCAAAAATGTTGAAGGACTTACTGCACTAGTTCATAATATCGAACAGTTAGAAACCTGTACAACTGATTAGAGGCCGTTGGTTGCAAGCAAAAAGGATAACTTGAGCAAAATAAATAATTTAGTTGGCAAGATGCTAAACTCACATGGATTGCCAAGCCCTGGGGTTTGGGAGCCAATGGTCTGCTCCATCAGAATCTCTTAAAGGCTGACCTTGCTGCCCTCCCTACAAGAAAAATCTCCTAACTTCATATATATCCCTAAATAACTTAATGTTTTACAACTTGTTATATTATTTGTATAACTTGCTATTATAGAGTTTAAATGTCTATCAATAAGGAACTGATAAAAATGATTATATATTTAGCTGGGGGCATGGTGGTGCACACCTATGGTCCCAGCTACTCTGGAGGCTGAGATGGAAGAATCACTTGAGCCCAGGAATTTTGAGGCTGCAGTGATCCAAGATCACACCACTGCACTATGACCTGGGCAACAGAGCCAGATCCTGTCTTTAAAAAAAAAAAAAAAAAAAAATATGGTATAGCCATATAATAGATTACAGCTATTAAAAAGAAGGGTGGATATGTGACGTAACAAAAATACATTAGAATTGAAGACCGGGCGCAGTGGCTCACGTATCCCAGGACTTTGGGAAGCTGAGGCTGGCAGATCTCTTGAGCTCAGGAGTTGGAGACCAGCCTGGGCAACATGATGAAACCCAGTCTCTACAAAATATACAAAAATTAGCAGGGGTTGTTGGCATGCACCTGTGGTCCCAGCTACTTGGCAGGCTGAGGCCGAAGGATTGCTTGAGCCCTAGAGGCTACAGTGAGCCATGATAGCGCCACTGCACTCTAGCATGGGTGACAGAGTGAGACCCTGTCTCAAATAAAATAATGAAATGAAAAAAAATTAAGTACAGCAGCAGTACAAGGCACAGTATCAACCTACTTTTGTTGAAAAAATTTTTTTAAATTTGTATACATGTAGAAATGCCTGAAGAAATTATTTGCAGATTACCTCTAGAGAATTTACATGCCTGTTTGTTGTTGTTGTTGTTGTTTGTTTTTTGGGGTTTTTTTTTGAGACGGAGTCTCACTCTGTCACCAAGCCAGCGTACAATGGTGCGATCTCAGCTCACTGCAACCTCCACCTCCCGGGTTCAAGTGATTCCCCTGCCTCAGCCTCCCAAGTAGCTGGGACTACAGGCACATGCCACCACGCCCAGCTAATTTTTGTATTTTTAGTAGCGACGGGGTTTCACCATGTTGGCCAGGATGGTCTCGATCTCTTGACCTTGTGATCCTCCCGCCTCGACCTCCCAAAGTGCTGGGGTTACAAGCGTGAACCACCACGCCCGGCCATCCCTGTGATTTTTAAATTCTTAAACATGTATTATTTATAACTTAAGACATAAAAACACTATAGTCACATAGGATAAAACAATTATAATCCAGATGAGAAACAAAAGATCTAAATTAAGGAGGTGTGAAGATAATGTGGAGGTTGTATACTATGACCATTTTAGAGAGAGAATTGTAGGTTTTATTGACTAAGAAGATAAAGGGATGCAAATTAGTTATACAGATTTTAATTCCAAACAACAGAATAGTGGCTATTAACAGTAAAATCAGTAAGTATTCTGGACATGTTTAATTTCAATATTCAGGTAGGGGATTTTATTGGAAATATGGATCTAGAGCTAGAGGAAGAAGTTGTATTTAGGAGTCATCCACAAAGAGGCTTGAAAAACAAATGAAAATGTATTGAGAAGTGCATAGAGAACAATGTTAAGGGGGCTGTGGGGGAAAAATAACATTTGGAAGATAACTGAAGGAAATCATAGAGGAAAAATAGTACAATCTAATTTTTCTCCCTAACTGAAAGCAAAACCACTTTTAATACTATTATAATAAGAATTTATTATGATCTCTCCATGATACTACCATTTTTTCAATCCCAACAATCATTATCACATCCCAGAGCCATCTCATGACAAGAACTTTCTAAATACTAATTGCCTGAACACTGAAGAAAATTAATATCTGATACTAAGGTGTAACTTACTTCTCTGTAATTAAAAAAAAGGCAGCTGGGCATGGTAGCTTACGCCTGTAATCCTAGCACTTTGCGAGGCTGAGGTGGGTGGATCACCATCAGGAGTTCAAGACGAGCCTGGCCAAGATGGTGAAAACCCATCTGTACTAAAAATACAAAAAATTAGCCAGGCGTGGTGGCAGGCACCTGTCATTCCAGCTACTCGGGAGGGTGGGGCAGAGAACTGCTTGAACCTGGGAGGCGGAGGTTGCATTGAACTAAGAGCGTACCACTGCACTCCAGCCTGAGCGACAGAGTGAGACTCCGTCTCAAAAAAAAAAAAAAAAAGGAAGCTTTCTGTTCTTGAAATACTCAAACTAGACAAGACAATTTTAAGTGAAGCTGTTCTCACAACCCTGTTTTTCAGCTATTGTAAGTTTGTTAATGGACAAACATGCTCATAACTGAAATTTTAAAATTACGTAAAAGTATAATTCTATAACCTGCAGAGAACTAACATTTGATACATTTTTCCTAGTCCTTTCAATGCTTAGTTTTTATTACATGTATGTAATATCACTTATTGAAGGCTTACTAAATACTGAACCCTGTATTAAAACACTTTACTGTCTTGCCTTCCAAACATTCTGACACTCAAAAGTTAAGTGATCTGCCCAGGGTCATAGCTAGAATTAAAACCTGCTACTTACATCTCAGATATGACTCCAAAGCCCAATCTTCATTACAAAACTGCAATACCTGCTTTCCCTCTCCCCCACTTAGCATAGTTTCAGCATTTCCCAGAACATTAACAGTAATAATTTATTGGCAACTTGACCTCTTATTGTATACATACAACATGATTTATTTTCCTATTCACCTAGTACTAGCCAAATGTGTATGTACATTGCTATCATAAACAACCCTGTGATTAACATATTTGTATCAAGATCTGCCTCTACTTTGAACAGTTTCCTTATTGCCAATAGTTATTTTAAAATACATAGTTATTTTAAAGGGAAATTGACACATATAACACACTCACACAAAATTGGCAAGTAGCAGGTAAGTGCTCTTCTAATTTCAGTTTCTTAGCTTTCATGTAGAATGAACAATTACAGTAATAAAGGCTGAAGGAAAACAAAGGTATTATTGAAATACAACAGGGACAGTCTAAAACAGCATCAGAAAGCAAGTTCATGCTGCTCAACATTAGCAGGCAAGGGAAATAGGGAAAAAAAATACGCAAAAGTGGCTATCACAGAAAAGCCAGGTTATTACTTTAGGTTTTGTGGGAGACTACAGGTCACATAAAAGCAGTCTCAACAATAATGTGGCCACATGCGCAATCAACATTTACAAAATGAAATTATATATAATGTGTAATACAAATATTTTAGCTATACTTTAATTTCCAAAGCCACATATTGAATGACTGAAATGTACATAAACATTCTTTTCTGATAGACCAGAACATCTACATTATCATGACTTAGAAAAAGAAAACAGATGCAAAATAGTGTTGAGACTTTCTTGCCTGAAATTGCAAGACTAAGTGTGTGTGTGCATGCGTGTATACATATATTTAAATCATTTTATTCTCCTTTGACCCTTTTGGCTGAACTTTATTCATATATTATCTGCCCTTATAGTCTCTCTCATGAAAGACATCATTATCCAGTCATTGAAGCCAAACCTCCTTCACCAGCCCCCAATCTCTAGACATCAAGGGTTAACAAAACATCTTCCTAAATTTCTCTGGAATTAAGCTCTTCTCTGTTAGTTTCCTTTCCAGATCCATTTCTTCATAAATCTGGCATGTGAGATTTGAATTGCTCTGCCGCAGTTTTCTCTTCTTTAGTCAGTGGTGACAGCTAGAAAATAAATGATAAAATTTTTATTTCAAACATCTTCAAAGACTGTTAAATCAGTTTAGTTAACTTCTGCATTGTCGACCAATAAATGTTTCCCTAAGCTTATACTATATAGGTAATCACAGATTTTGAAGGGCAAGGGAAAAAACAGATACTTGGCTATTTATATACAAGGTCCTATGATGTTTGAGCTTCTAAAGAACTTGCAATTAAGTTGAAGAAACAAGACCAAGAAATCAAACAATTTAAGGATTATAGCAGAACCAAAGAAGTCATGTTTGGATGCCATATTCTAAAAGTACAGTCAACCCTCAGTATTTGTGGGAGATTGGTTCCAGGATAACAAAATCCACAGATGCTCAAGTCCCTTATATGAAATTGTGTAGTATTTGCATAGAAACTGTACACATCCTCCTATATACTTTAAGTCATCTCTAGATTACTTATAATACCTAATACAATGTAAATGCTATGTACATAGTTGTTACACTATATTGTGGAAGGAATAAATGATAAGGAAAAAAGTCTACAGTTGTTCAGTGCAGATGCAACCATCTAATTTTTTTCCAAAATTTTTTTTTCTATTTTTGAAACGGGGTCACTCTGTTGCCCAGGCTGGAGTGCAGTGGTGCAATCACGGCTCCCTGCAGCCGCAGCCTCCCGGGCTCAAGCAATCCTCCTACTTCAGCCTCCTGAGTAGCTAATTTTTAACTTATTAGTACACAAATTTTTAGCTGGGCATGGTGGCACACACCTGTGGTCCCAGCTGCTCGGGAGGCTGTGGTGGGAGGACGCTTGAGCCTGAGAGGTCGAGACTGCAGTCAGCCATGATGGTGTCACTGCACTCTAGCCTGGGCAGCAGAGCAAGACCTCATCTTAAAAAAAAGAAAAAACAGGCTGGATGCGGTGTCTCACGCCTGTAATCCCAGCACTTTGGAAGGCCGAGGTGGGTGGATCACCTGAGGTCAGGAGTTTGAAACCGGCCTGACCAACATGGTGAAACCTCATCTCTACTAAAAATACAAAATATTAGCTGGGCATGGTGGCGGGCGCTTGTAATCCTAGCTACTCGGGAGGTTGAGGCAGGAGAACTGCTTGAACCTGGGAGGCGGAGGTTGCAGTGAGCTGAGATTGCGCCACTGCACTCCAGCCTGGGCAATAAGAGTGAAACTCTGTCTCAAAAAAAAAAAAAAAGATAAAGAAAAGAAAATGTATTATCATTCCACAATAACTTCAGAAAAAGGAAAGACTTCCGGGCTGATTTATTCAGCAACTGAACAATGTAAGGACTCAGTTTTTTCCATCTGACAGCTCTAATATTCCTGGATGGTACCTTTACCCTCAAGCTGACAGCAAATGGCTTTAACGGTTCTAGGTATCACAATTCTACACAGTGTCCAGAAGAAGCCTTCTCTTCTCAGGGTTGTCTTAGCAGTGAGTAAAGTCTTCCTGGTTACCTACTTCCAGACTATCCTTACTCACATGTCATTTGGGTTACAAACCCATTCCTCAACCACTGTTAGTTAAAAAATAAAGTCCATTCCCTATGCCAATCAGATGCACCCCTGGAGCCGAGGATGAGGCCAGCTTCATCTCAGGCACATGGCTATGAGGGACAACACACATCTCAAGAAAGTCAGTATAGTCATGTGTCACTTAATGACAGGAATACGTTCTGAGAAATACATGGTTAGGCAGTTTCATATGTGAACATCACAGTGTACTTACACAGAGATTGTATATATACACTCAGGCTATATGGTATAGCCTACTGCTCCTGGGCTACAAATCTGTACAGCATGTTACTGTGCTGAATACTGTAGGCAGTGGTAACACATGGTATTTTTATATCTAAACATCTGAACATAAGAGTACATAAAAATATGCTATTATAATCTGGGACCACTGCCATATATATTTGGTCCATTGTTGACCAAAACATAATTATGCACTGCATGTCTACACTCTGGTAGGCAGGAAAGGAGAACAGATGCTGAGAAAGAAAAACAGCCAATAGCATTCACCAAAAGCAGGTAGCAGCAAAAGAAGAAGGGAGGCTGAAGGGAAGTTGTAAGGGACTTTCACAGAGCACCAACAGACAGCCTGCCTGAAACAAAGGGTTATGTGGGGAATTAATAGGAGGTACAACCTGAAGAATCAAGTAGTTACAATTCTGCCAACTATATAGGTCATCTCTAGAGAGACTGCCAAATCTGGAACACCCCAGACCTACAGAATCAGAATCTCTAGGGCGGCATTGTCCAATAAAACTTTCCATGATGCTGGAAATATTCTATATTGGCGCTGTCCAATCAGTAGGTGAAGAACTTAATGCTTATTTTTCATTTAACCACCTTAAATGTAAATTTCATTTCTTTTTCTTTTTTTTTCTTTTTTTTTATTTGAAATGAAGTTTCACTCTTGTTGCCCAGGCTGGAGTGCAATCTCAGCTCACTGCAACCTCCACCTCCCAGATTCAGGAGATTCTCCTGCCTCAGCCTCCCGAGAAGCTGGGATTACAGGCACCCGCCACCACGCCTGGCTAATTTTTTGTATTTCTTTAGTAGAGATGGGGGTTTCACCATGTTGGCCAGGCTGGTCTGGAACTACTGACCTCAGGTGATCCACCTGCCTCAGCCTCCCAAAGTGCTGGGATTACAGGCATGAGCCACTGCGCCCAGCCTAAATTTAAATTTATATAGCCACATTAGGTTATGCAAATAGGACAGATCTAGAACAGCCACAGAACCTATATGATTCTGATATGCAGCTGGTTCCACTGATCAGACCAACATTTGCCCAACATGTTCACAAGGATAAAATGAAAAACAATCATATGTCTTACTACAACCCAAACAGTTACAGGATTTCCTTCTTCTGCCTCAAAAAAAGGAAATGTTATTCTGACAAGACTTGGTTTTTCGTTTTGTTTTTGTTTTAGAGACAGGGTCTTGTTCGATCGCCCAGGCTAGAGTGCAGTGGTGTGGTCATAGCTCACTGCAACCTCTAACTCCTGGGCTCAAGCAATCGTCCCACCTCAGCCTCCCAAGTAGCTGCGACTACAGATGCACACTGCCACACCCAGCTGTAAGACTGATGAATCCATGTTGCTCCTTGTGATCACTACAAAACCTTTCAGACCATCTGTTTAATAAATTCTCAAATAATTTTTCCAGGAATTAAAGTCAAGTTAACCAGTCTAAAGTTCGTAGAAATTTTTCTTCTTTATCACACATATTTTGGAAGATCATGGAATACTACATATTCTACTTTTAATGCCTTTTTAATTTTCTATTTATTGTTATATATGTTTGGGGCGTTTGTTTTGCTATTTTTTGTTTGGGTGTAAGTTTAGTCCCTTTTCTCTTTTGATGAGACGACCTTTATAATTGAGCATATTTAAACCTCAGTTTAAATATGAGGGCACGGAGGCTCACATCTGTAATCCCAGCACTTTGAGAGGCCAAGACAGGTGGATCACTTGCGGTCAGGGGATCGAGACCAGCCTGGCCAACTTGGTGAAACCCCATCTCTACTAAAAATACAAAAAAATCAGCTGGGCGTGGTGGCATGTGCCTGTAGTCCCAGCCACTTGGGAGGCTGAGGCAGGAGAATTGCTTGAATCCGGGAGGCCGAAGTTGCTGTGAGCCAATATCGTGACACTGTACTCCAGCCTGGGCAACAGAGGGAGACTCCATCTCAAAAAACAAAAAATAAATAAATAAATAAATAAACCTCAGTGTTTTTTCTCTTTTTTTCTTCGTCAGTCTTAATATCCCCTAAGAAAGATTACAAAATTAGTATGTATTACCTTTCTCCTACCTCCTTTTCTGTTCTGTATTTATTATTTAGTATTATCAGTTCAAGTGTTCTTTTTGAATATTATAAATTCAAATATATTTTCTACCCTTCCAAATGAAAAACCACTCATTGATAAAGATTATAGCAAGATAATACCTGAAAAGATATACATTTTGTTATCTATAAACAAAGCACTATTGGTTCCAAGGAGAATTTATCCTTTTCTTGTCCTTCTTGTTCCCCAAATAATTTTAAAGCCCCTTTAAAATAACCTTTTCCTTATTTTAGAAAATTTCAGAGGCCTTAGCTCAATCTGCCTTTGGCTTTTTCTTTCTTTTTTTTTCTTTTTTTGAGAAAGAGTCCCACTCTGTTGCCAGGCTGGAGTGCAGTGGCACGATTTCGGCTCACTGCAACCTCCACCCCCTAGGTTCAAGCGATTCCCCTGCCTCAGCCTCCCTAGTAGCTGGGACCACAGGCATGCAACACCAGGCCTGGCTAATTTTTAGTTATTTTAGTAGAGACGAGGTTTCACCATATCAGCCAGGATGGTCTCGGATCTCCTGGCCTCGTGATCCTCCCGCCTTGGCCTCCCAAAGTGCTGGGATTACAGACGTGAGCCACTGCACCCGGCCCCTTTGGCTTTCCTAACTGATTTTGCAGGTTTCTCCCTATGACCTTTTAATATTTGAAATTTATTTACAAATTGTACCTTGCAAGTCCTTTAAACTCTGGGCTCATATAACTGTTTTTGGTTATCAGCTCTACAGATGTCATTCCCATTCACATTTGGATCATAAAAATTTTATCAGTATTATGGTTTATTAAGCCCCCCTTTTAAACATCTCTCAGAAGATTAAGTATCATATCTCTATTCCCTCTGAACTTTCTAATACTATCTCATTTTTATTTTAGTAAAAAAATTTTTTGGACAGTCTCACGTTGTCACCCAGGCTGGAATTCAGTGGTGCAATCATAGCTCACTGCAGCCTCAAACCCCTAGAGTCAAAGGATCTTTCTGCCCCAAATAGATGGAACTACCAGCATGCACTCCCATGCCCAGTAATTTTAAAATATTTTTTTCTTTTTTCTTAGTAGAGATAGGGTCTCACTATGTTGTCCAGGCTAGTCTCAAACTCCTGGCCTCAACTGAGCCTCCTGCCTTGACCTCCCAAAGTGCCGAGATTATAGGCATGAGCCACTGTGCCCAGCATACTATCTCATTTTTAAAGTAGTAGGTACAAGACTTACTATAGCCAAAATTTCCCAATTTGGTCATCATTGATTCTAAAATATGACCACCTCTTTCAAGTTTTATAACTTTTAAATCATTTCTTCTTATTTGCCATAACGTGATCCAAAGTAAAAGCTCCCTTAGTTTTCAGCCTTTGACATAAGTATTGTTCATTTCAGGTATTTCTTCAACTGAAAACCTTTACAGATAGTCAGATGATTGAAATTTTCCATCACTGGCTGGATATGGTGGCTCACGCCTGTAATCCCAGGACTTTGGGAGGCCGAGGCGTGCGGATCACGAGGTCAGGAAATCAAGACCATCCTCGCTAACACGGTGAAACCCTGTGTCTACTAAAACTGCAAAAAATTAGCCAGGCATTGTGGCAGGCACCTGTAATTCCAGCTATTCTGGAGGCTAAGGCAGGAGAATCACTTGAACCCGGTAGGCAGAGGTTGCAGTGAGCCGAGGTCGTGCCATTGCACTCCAGCCTGGGAAACGAGTAAAACTTCATCTCACAAAAAAAAAAAAAAAAAAGAAATCTTCTATCACTATACAACTACTTTTATGTACCAATTTGTAGTCTCAAAAATACACCATCGATTTATTATATCCAGTGGGGGAAATCTGTAGATATTCAAAATACCATTTTCTCTTTGCCCTCTTACCCATGTTTATTCTGTGCTTCAAAAAATTTATGGTTCTATACAGATATGTTGTCATGTACATCTGGAACTATACTTAATCAGCTATTTGTTTCCTAAGAACAAGGTTATGTGCTCTATTGTCAGGCACATATAATGAAGAATGTGTGATCTGAGATGATTTATAAAAGCTTATATACATACTTTTTTTGCATTTAATTTACTAGGATGTAACACAACCCTTACTGTTTTAAATTCTATCTCCCCATTACCTCTATTCCCTGTTTAATTTGCCCTTTCTTCCTCTGCCATTCATCTCCTTGTGATTATAATAGATACATCTTAGGTATCATTTTATCGTTCTAAGCAGATGTTATTCTATTTTTTCCCCTCCATTTGCAATATAAAGTATTCTTGATCAAACTGACCTGGGTAATTAACCTTTCTGATTTACTCTAGCTATAAGCCCATAATTCAAAGTATCTTAAGCCAAAATTTAGTGCAAAGTTGGCAAATAAATATCACATATGCCTTCCTCCTTCCCATGCTCATGGCAGACAGTGCTATTATTCTGCCATGCCCAGACACAGCTCCTTAATACAGCACTCTAACCAACCATTTTCTAGACATCTCATTCTCACTAGTACTTGCAGGAACCAGCTAAGCTGCTAGATTTAGTAAGTATTACCAAGTTTTCTGCCATGGTTACATAATTCAAGACGGCACACTTCTTTATTAACCATGTCAAGTCCAAATGCTTATTTCTGAATAAACAGAAATAAGAGCTATTATACTTCAGGGTATCAGGAAAATCTTTCAATAGTTCAAACTGACTGCTGAGTTTCAAAGTTTAAGTTACAGCAAGTGCATTTTTCAAGGCAACACTCAGAGCTAAATTTATACAAATCTAACCTGTCAATTGAAAGCATTACCTCCAGGTCTGTTTGCTTCTGTAGTTTTTGTATCACATTCATAGTTTTATTCACAGTAGCACATATGCGGCTCTTAGTCTCTTTCTGCTCAACAGCAACTGGTTTAAAGTGGGCATACAAAGTTTGATATCGAGACTTTATTGCTGACAATTCCTTTAAGAGTGTAACTGGATTTTTCTATATCAGGAAAAAAATTAACATGTATTAAATTATGAAAGATTAAGCTTTTTAAGAATTAAAATACTGTATACATACAACACATTCTACCATCCATTTAATTGAACACTGTTGAGTATTTAATTATGCAGCCACATGACATCAGATGGGCGATGGGGAAGCGAGAAAAGTATAAGACCTAGATCCTATTCTCAAGAAATTTATAGCCTAGGTACAGAAATAACCCACCAAAAAAATTAGCACTATTAAACAGCAAATAAGGGTCACCTTAGATATATAACATTTGATGCATAGTTCACAATAATAAATTATATATTTCTAAAATACAATTCTAAATGCTATTCGGAAGGCAATAAAAGGCACTATTTATACTTGTTCTTAAAGAATAAGACAACATGAAACTACTTATAAAACTTTTTTTTTTTTTTTTGAGACGGAGTCTCACTCTTATTGCCCAGGCTGGAGTGCAGTGGCGCGATCTTGGCTCACTGCAAGCTCGGTCTCCTGGGTTCACGTCATTCTCCTGCCTCAGCCTCCGGAGTAGCTGGGACTACAGGTGCCTGCCACCATGCCCGGCTAATTTTTTTATATTTTTAGTAGAGACGGGGTTTCACCGTGTTAGCCAGGATGGTCTTGATTTCCTGACCTCGTGATCCGCATGCCTCGGCCTCCCAAAGTGCTGGGATTACAGGCGTGAGCCACCGCGCCCGGCCAAAATTCGTAAACATACTATCATGGGGATAAAGTATGTATAAATATCAATTTATTTATATATATACAAAATATAAAATTCATGCCAACTCAACTGTATTTATAAACTATATTGGTTTCCCAGATTTATTTTGTAATATAAATTACCACTATTCCATAAAAGACATTTCAATTGGGCCCCTTCTGCCACTTGGTAATTCTTTTCTTTCTTTTAATTTTTTTTTTTTTTTTTTTTTTTAATAGAAACAGGAATCTCACTCTGTCGCCCAGGCTGGTCTTAAACTCCTGGCCTTAAGCGATCCTTCTGCATCAGTCTCCCAAAGTGCTAGAATTACAGGTGTGAGCCACTGCACCCTGTCAGATTTCTTTTTTTATGATTAGGTAAGATTCATGTATTTTCAGGCCCACCAAGTGACAGCACAATTAATAAAAAGATCTATACCATAACTGTAAATTTTCGCAGGATAGAAAAAATATTCTGAAACTTCCAGGTGATAGGTAAGGGACTAGGGTAGGCTGAGAAGGAAAGCACAAAGGATCAGGAATGAGAATGGCATCTATTTTTCAACAGCAACAATAGAAGCTAGAAAGCCACGAAGTGATGATGTTAAAATTAAGAGAAAATCTCCAATCTAGAATTCTATATTCAACAAAACCATTCATCAAATAAAGGGTTAAAGGGTGCAATAAAGACTTTTTCAAACATTCAGCATCTCAAAAAGTTAACTTTCTGTGTAATCTTCCTTGGGAAGCATCTAAAGGATATACTTCCAGATCAAAGAAATAAACCACCAAAAAGTGAAACATATGATCCAACACAGGAGTAAAACAAAGGGAAATACCAAAATAATGGTAAAGAAATCCCAGAAATGCCAGGTGCGGTGGCTCATGACTATAATCTCAACACTTTGGGAGGTCAAGATGGGTGGATCACATGAGGTTAGGAGTTCGAGACCAGCCTGCCCAACGTGGTGAAACCCCGTCTCTACTAAAAATACAAAAATTAGCCAGGCATTGTGGTGGGCGCCTGTAGTCCTTGCTGCTCAGTAGGCTGAGGCAGGAGAATCACTTGAGCCTGGGAGGCAGAGGTTGCAGTGAGCCGAGATGGCGCCACTGCACTCCAGCCTGGGTGACAACAGCGAAACTCCCTCTCAAAAAACAAACAAACAAACAAAAAGAGGCCGGGAACAGTGGCTCACGCCTGTAATCCTAGCCTAGCACTTTGGGAGGCTGAGGTGGGCGGATTGCCTGAGCTCAAGAGTTCGAGACCAGCCTGGGCAACATGGTGAAATGCCGTCTGTACTAAAATACCAAAACAAATAATAATAATAATAACTAGCCGGGCATGTGGGCGTACGCCTGTAGTCCCAGCTACTCGGGAGGCTGAGGTGGGAGAATTGCTTGAACCCGGGAGGCAGAGGATGCAGTGAGCCAAGATCATGTTCACTGCACTCCAGCCTGGGCGACAGAGCAAGACTCTGTCTTGGAAAAAAATTTATAAAAAGAGTTAGAATCTCACTGTCACCTAGGCTGGAGTGCGGTGGTGCAATCATAGCTCACTTGAACTGCTGGGCTCAAGTGATCCTCCCACCTCAGCCTCCCAAGTAGCTGGGACTACAAGTGTGAGCTACTACAACAGGGCTATAGTAGGAGATTATTATTAGTGATAACAGCTAACATATAGCACTTACTCTGGACTAAACAGTTATATATGTTAACTAATTCTCTTTCAACCTCTGAGGTAGGTAGTAATATTTCCATTTTACAGATGAGGAAATTAAAGTACAGAAAGGTTGACTGACTTGGCTAAAATCACAATGCTAATAAGAGGCAGAGCCAGGATGTGAAGTATAACAGTTCGTATCCAGGAAATTAGTAGATGTTTCAGATGAGGAAAAATAAAAATGCAGTACAAGCAAACTATTTAGAAATATAAAGGAAATACCATAAGACACTGAGATGAAGTGGTATCCTCCAAGGTGGGAATGTGAAGCATTATTCTTTGTAATTATAAGCTTTATATTTCTGTAACTCTTCAAATATATTCAAGAATTAATTTGACAAAAATAAAAGTTTAGGCCAGGGGTGATGACTCACACCTATAATCCCAACACTTTGGGAGGCTGAGACAGGAGGATCACTTGAGCCCAGGCGAGACCAGCCTAGTAAACATGGCAAAACCCCATCCCTACTAAAATGCAAAAAATTAGAACCAGGTGTGTTGGCACACACCTCTATTCCCACCTACTCAGGAGACTGAGGTGGGAGGATCACCTGAGCCCAGGAGGTTGAGGCTGCAGTCAGCTGTGATCATGCCACTGCACTCCAGTCTGGGCAACAGAGTGAGACTTTATCTGGGGGGGGGGGAAAAAAAAGTTTAACACTGGGAGGGAAATTGGTAGGAGGGAAGAAATCATCTTCCTCATGAGGTGATAATGAATTACATAACTTAATTATAAATGATCTTTAGGTAACTGGAATGTAGCTCAGTAGTAAAATATGCAGAGATCTGTACATATTAATATAACTCAGGAGAATGATGAGTTCCCCAAATACAGATTCATACAGGAAAAAATAAAAGTGGCAAGAACTAATCCTTGAGGATCTCACAAAACTAGGAAAGGAAAGCATATGCTTGATAAATCAAGCATAAGAAATAAATGGCCATAGAGCTAAAAGAGGACAGGGTAGTCAGGCAGCTACCCATAATACATGTGTTTATGACATTAGCTCAATCAATAAGACTGACATGGCAGTGAGTAATTTAGGACAACATGATTTGCATTTATGGCCTGTTTATGACAGGTTAGGACTGTGGTTAGGACTTAGCAACATACCACAAAGGAAAAAACTGTTGTGCACATAGCCTGTTTTATTTGAGTAACTGGCTCTTGGGAACCACTACATCCTTTTTTTTTTTTTTTTTTTTTGAGATGGAGTTTTGCTCTTGTTGCCCAGGCTGGAGTGCAATGGCGTGATCTCAGCTCACTGCAACCTCCACCTCCCGGGTTCAAGCGATTCTCCTGCCTCAGCCTCCCGAGTAGCTGGGATTACAGGCACGCACCACCACACCCTGCTAATTTTTTTATTTTTAGTAGAGATGGGGTTTCTCCATGTTGGTCAGGCTGGTCTTGAACTCCTGACCTCAGGTCATCCACCTGCCTTGGCCTCCCAAAGTGCTGGGATTACAGGTATGAGCCACCGTGCCTGGCCAGGAGCCTCTATATTCTTTTATTAGTGTTTGTAAACTGTAGTGTTCGTAAACTTTTATTAGTGTTTGCTGCACTTTAGTTAATTTTGTGCCTATAATACTTCCAATTTAGGGTTTTACTTATCATAAGTGGATGATAAAAGGTTACAAGAATGGTTGGACAAGGTGGCTCACACCTGTAATCTCAACACTTTTTTTTTTAGCTGGGTGTGGTGGTATGTGCCTATAGTTCCAGGCACGTGGCAGACTGAGGTGGGAGGATTGCTTGAACCCAGGAAGTCAAGGCTGAAGTGAGCTGAGATTTTGTCACTGCACTCCAGCCTGGTGACAGAGTGAGACCCTGTCTTAAAAACACACACATACACACACACATACAGAGTCTTTAAACTGATAAGAACAGATACTATACTTGATCTTAGCCAAAAGGCTGAGAAGCAATGTCACACCAATCTTTAAGACAAAAGAAAGAAAGGAAGGAAGGGGAGGCAGGGGGAGGAAAGGAAAGGAACAAAGGAATGGAAGGGAAGGGAGGAAAGAAAGGAAGAAAAGGAAGGAAGGGGCCAGGTGTGGTGGCTCACGACTGTAATCCCAGCATTTTAGGAGGCTGAAGCAGGTGGATCACTTGAGGTCAGGAGTTCGAGACCAGCCTGACTAACATGGTGAAACCCCATCTCTACTAAAAAAATACAAAAATTAGCCAAGCATGGTGGCCTGAGCCTGTAATCTCAGCTACTCGGGAGGCTGAGGAGGGAGAATCCCTTGAACCTGGGAGGCCGAGGCTACAGTGACCCAAGATCGTACCACTGAACTCCAGCCTGGGCAACAGAAGGAAGGAAAAGGAAGGGAAGAGAGGAAAGGGAGGGAGAAGAAGGACGGGAGGAAGGAAAAGAGGGAGGGAGGGAAGGAGGGAAGGAAGGAAGGAAGGAGAGAAAGAGGGAAGGAGGGAAGGAAGGAAGGAAAGGAGGAAGGGAGGAAAAGAGGGTAAGGGGAAGGGAAGGAAGAGAGAAAAAGAGAGGGAGGGAGGGAGGAAGAGAGAGAAAGACAGGGAGGGGGAGAAAGAAAAAGAAAAGAAAAGGAAGAAAAAAGAGAAAGAGAAAAGAATAGGGAGCTAGAACAGTACAAACTACACTCCCATAGAATTCTAGCATTCCATGAAATAAACAGTAAAAACTAAACATTCATGAAATTTTCCCAATTTTGTATAAAATGTTAGTTTAACTTGTACTTCTACCCAATCCAAAAAAATTTTTTTAATTTTATGGAATTTTTTTTAACTGTAAAATGCAATATTTCTCGTCTGCTGGCAAGTGCTATCAAAGACAAATATTGGTTGGGCGTGGTGGCTCATGTCTGTAATCCCCACACTTTGAGAGGCTGAGGTAGGCGGATCACTTGAGGTCAGGAGTTCGAGACCAGCCTGGCCAACATGGTAAAACCCCGTCTCTACTAAAGATACAAAAAAAAAAAAAAAAAAATTAGCCAAGCATTGTGGCGCACACCTGTAATCCCAGCTACTTGGGAGACTGAGGCAAGTGAATCGCTTGAACCCAGGAAGTGGAGGTTGTGGTGAGCTGAGATTGCACCACTGCACTTCCAGCCTGGGTGACAAAGTGATCCGTCTCAAAAAAAAAAAAAAGATAATAAGCCTGATACCTGGGCTTTGGGGGAAAAAAAGATACACATTATTAAATTAGTGATTTTAGTGTTAATGTTAACAGATGATGCTTGGATATTACTTGCTTTCACCCCCATGGACATATATGTATACGATTTTATGACATAAAGCAGAGTTAATGTTTCTAATCAACCTAAACTTAGAATAATTAAATACATAGCTTTATGTGGAAATCACTATTCATAAAATACAACTAAAAAATCTAATAGTGTATCATTACCTTCCTCAGAGAATATGCTGAATGCCAGGACTTCTCCCCTCAAACTTACTAAAGAACAACTGCCCTAGAGGTACCTATATTCTCTCTTGGAATTTCAGGGGCTGCCACAGTGGCTTGTACCTCTGAACTCAATGATTATTTTTTAAAGGTTAGGGAGAAAAAAGCAGCCACAAATTTCATGGACTATTGATACTATTTCTCCAGTATGCTATAACCAAGCTTCCAACACAATGACAAGATTTTAAGATTCTATAAACTTAATAATATAATTCTTATGATCTATTACTATTAGGAGTGCTATCAGAAAATTCTAAAGTGTTCAGTTAAGGCTTTTTTTTTTTTTTAAGCTTATTTATTTCGGAGATTACCTCGCTTGCTGAATCAGGATGATTAGTCTTGATTTCATATTCCAACCTGTATTGAATGTAATCCAGATCAGACTCAGCTTTCTGGAACTAAAGATCACCACAAATCATTATTGTATAAACCAAAAGAGTAATAGTAAACATGATACTTTATTTTTTCTCTTTACATTTGTTAGTATTTCAATAAGTGATACATACTCATTTGAAAATGTGGAAATAAAAAGTATATAAAATATCCATTATCCATAATAACTATGCTCTATTAAAAATTTAAAAAGTAGTTAACATTTTAAAGTCATTTCTGTATGCCTCTGTCTTACATTTTGAGCCAAAATCAAGATACTGAGTAGTCACTGTCAGATATTAATACAAAAAACTAATAAACTAATATAAAAAAGTTTTTTGTAATTAATACAAAAAACTTCAAGAATTTCCTAGGGTCACTGATACTCTCATCAGTTAGGCAGTGTTTTTCTGCCTCTGGCAGAAAATACAGTTTCAAGTTAAAACACAGAACAAATTTATTTCAGGAATACTCATATTGTTACCTTTATTTGCAATCCCATTGATCAAAGAGCTACAGCTATGTGCCACGAAAATTAAGAGGGCTTAAAAAGTCACAAATTTCACAAGAAAAGCTACATACGATATAGGAGTAATAGTCTGAATAACCCCAATTTACTGAACCTGGGTGCCAGCATGGGAACTTGATCTGTAGTAAACCTCCAAGGAAGAAAAAAGGGGAGAACTACCACCCCGAGGCCATTATGGATATAGGATGCCTGAATTTAAGTGAAAAGTTACATTTAAAAGTATCAATATCTGCCGGGCACAGTGGTTCATTCCTGTAATCCCAGCACTTTGGGAGGCCAAGGCAGGTGGATCACCTGAGGTCAGGAGTTTGAGACCAGCCTGGCTGACATGGCGAAACCTCGTCTCTACTAAAAATACAAAAATTAGCTGTGCGTGGTGGCAGGAGCCTGTAATCCCAGTTACTCGGGGGACTGAGGCAGGAGAATCGCTTGAACCCTGGAGGTGGAGGCTGCAGTGAGCCAAGATTGTGACACTGCACTCCAGCCGGGGCGACAAGCGTGAAACTCCGTCTCCATAAAAAAATAATAATATTAAGTATTTGGGGCCAGGCATGGTGGCTCATCCCTGTAATCCCAGCACTTGGGCAGCTGAGGCGGGCAGGTCACTTGAGCCCAGGAGTTCAAGGCTAGCCTGGTCAACATGGCAAAAACCCATCTCTACTAAAAATACTAAAATTAGCTGGGCATAGTGGCATGTGCCTGTGGTCCCAGCTATTTGGGTAGAGCTGAGGCACTAGAATCGGTTGAACTGAGCAGGCGGAAGTTGCAGTGAGCCAAGATCGGCCACTGCACTCCTGCCTGGGTGACAGAGCAAGACTCTATCTCATAAATAAGTAAATAAATAGACATCAATATTTGGAATACCATGCCGTTATTGAAAATGATGGTATACAAAAAATACTTAAGGGGGAGCTTTCACATTTTGCTCTATTTCTGTAGGATTTGTAATGAAAATGATGGTATACAACAAAGTACTTACGGGGGGGCTTTCACATTTTATTCTTTCTGTAGTAATTGTAATGAACAGCTATTTAACCTTTTAAAAGGCCATCAGTTTTTAAAATGATAATATATAGACAGATTTGACATGACACTATATTTATGACTTGTTAAATACAAAAACAGCCTTAAGTATGTTATGGCCTCTTTTTGTAAAAGAGGTGTATACATATAGAAAGTTGAGACAGATACGTGACAGTGTTAAAAAGAAGTTTCTTTTTCTTTTTTATGAGACAGGGTTTGCTCTGTAGCCCAGGCTGAAGTGTTGTGGCACCATCAGAGCTCACTGCAGTCTCAAACTGCTGGGCTCATGGGATCCTAGCCCTTCCGAGTGCACCTGGGACTACAGGCACATGCCATGGCACCCAGCTAATTTCTGATTTTTTGTAGAGACAGGATCTCATTATGTTGCCCAGGCTGGGCTCAAGCAGTCCTCCTGCCTCAGCCTCCCAAAGTGCTGGGATTGCAGGTGTGAGCCACCGTGTCCAGCCTAAAAGTAGTTTATTTCTGCAAGTGGTATAATCAATGAATTATTCGTAACTTCTTGAAATTCAGCATCTTTTACAGGACCTTAAAGCATATACTGCCTTGAGTTTATCAGGGATATAACCATGGTCCTTAGAGTTTACTACAGAAAGGAAAACATGATTTCCACAGGCATGGTCTCCTATTTCTAGCCCAAAACATAGGAGGCTGTTTGCTGGGAGGGTGCTGCTCTTATTATGAACTTTATTACTGAACTAAAGATTGATTCTCGAAATCGTGAAGCCTAAGTGGAAGGAGAAAAACTGTTAAAAGCAGTTCTCAGGTCTAACAAGAAATGATGTACAGTTATTTTTAGTATATAAAAGGTTCTATTAGGGGCCGGGTGCGGTGGCTCATGCCTGTAATCCCAGCACTTTGGGAGGCCAAGGCGGGCAGATCACGAGGTCAGGAGATTGAGACCATCCTGGCTAACATGGTGAAACCCTGTCTCTACTAAAAATACAAAATAATTAGCGGGGCGTGGCGGCAGGCGCCTGTAGTCCCAGCTACTCAGGAGGCTGAGGCAGGAGAAAGGCATGAACCCGGGAGACAGAGCTTGCAGTGGGCCGAGATCACACCACTGCACTCCAGCCTCGGTGACAGAGCAAGACTCTGTCTAAAAAAAAAAAAAAAAAGGTTCTATTAAGACCTTACTTTCAAATGTAGAGTAAGACAAAATGGCTGTCAGAAATTCAAATGCTTCTAAGGTCAGAAGCTGTCATCACTGAACAGAATTTCAGAAATAAACTAGTTTCCATCACTAATAATTTCTCTTATCATTGACCTAAATTGGAATGGAAAACTCTGTAATGACCAAAATTCTATCTTTATAGCCAAAACTTGGGGGGGAGGGTACAGATAAAAGAGAAAGTTTTTGTTTTTAAACATATTTTCCAGGTCAATATCTGATTTCTATCTCTAACATCAGGGAGTCGTTCTAAGCCAGAAAAATTAATGTTGGGTACATAATTACAAAGTGGGTTTAAAATGATTTCCAAAAAGTGGAAGCTTTTCATTTATCTTATATATTTGTCAGATGAGATGCCATGATTAAATTAATCAATAATTACACCTCCTTAAAAATACTAATGTTTGTGTTTGTGTGTGTATTAAGAAATTCCTATTAGCATAATTTCTCATACTAAGACATACTTAGGGATTATCTTTTCCTATAAATAAGAAAAGTACACTAACCCATCAAACATGTGGATGGAGAGAATGAGGAGACACCAGGAGGAGCCAGAGCAAATCAAAGTTAACAAAGACTGTGAGCACTCAAGACCTGATTTTCTTGTCTGTCTTAATTACTAAACAGACCACAATGCCATAGCTTTTTTCAATGAGTTATATAACATTCTTAAGCACAACTTTAAATACGAGTCTTTAAAGCTTGTTTTAGTCATTTAGTTTACCATAAATTATGGAATTTGTGGCTCTAAGACAATCTCTATTCTAGGAACCCTTAACATGTTTATGAAACAAATTATTAAGCTTACATATTTTTTAACTTGATATTTTAGTTGTGCTTGAAGTTTAGCATAATCTCATGTAGTTCCTTGAACAGTAAATTTCCTTTTTTTATTTTTATTTTTTTTTGAGAAGAGTTTTGCTCTTATTGCCCAGGCTGGAGTGCAATGGCGTGATCTCAGCTCACTGCAACCTCTGCGTCCAGGTTTAAGCAATTCTCCTCAGCCTCCTGAGAGCTGGGACCACAGGCCTAAATTGTCCTAAATTTGCAAGTGAGACTCCAAGGTCTGAAAGATCTTTACAATAATCTAACATTATGCACCAAAACATGATAGTTTGGGGGGACACAAAACTCCAAAAATGTAGACTATATTCATATATATAATATTATATATATATTTTTTCATTTATTTATTTTTTTGAGCAAGGTCTCGCTCGTCACACAGGCTGGAGTACGTGGCAACATCTCGGTCTCACTACGCCCCAACCTCCCAGGCTCAAGAGATCTCCCACCTCAGCCTCCCAAGTAGCTGGGACTATAGCACATGCACTACGCCCAGCTGATTTTTGTATTTTTAGTAGAGACAGGGTTTCACAATATGGCCAGACTGGTCTCTAACTCCTGACCTCGAGCAGCGGCTGCCTCAGCCTCCCAAAGGTTCTGGGATTACAGGTGTGAGTCACGACCCGGCATCTTTTTAAGAGAGTTTCTGCTCTGGTTTCGGCTGTAATGCCTAGGGGCCCAAAATGTGTTAATCATCAAATGGCACCAAAAAGAGTGGTTTCACTTTAATAACTTCTATTTGTAGGAAGATACCAAAGAGTACCCTTCAATCAATGGTATGATGAAATACTAAACTGTCATTTTTTTTTCTTTTTTTTTTTTTTGAGAGAGTCTCTGTCTTCTGTCATCCAGGCATAGTATAGTGGTGCGATTCACTGCAACCTCCACCTTCCAGGTCAGGCAATTCTCCTGCCTCAGCCCTCTGAGAGGCTGAGTAGAAGCACCTGCCACCACACCCAGCAATTTTTACTCATTTCGTAAAATGGGTTTCACCATTTGCCCAGGCTGGTCTCAAACTCTTGACCTCGAGTGATCTGCCCTTGGCCTCCCAAAGTGCTGGATTATAGGGCCGGGCACCATTGCCCCCAGCTAAACTGCAAGGCGATTTTTGCAAGACAATTATTAAACATACCATCATTACAAATTAATATATACTAAATACAGGCTAGAGTGGCTGAAAAAATACTTTTCCACGTGCCCGCCCTGAAAAAATATATTTAAATTAGCAATTTTTAAAAACTATAAAATAATTTCTTACAATATTTTTAAAAAATTTATCTTGTGTATTTATTTATGTTTAAAAACATATTTTTGAGATTGAGTCTCCGCTGTCCCCCAGCTGGTGCCAAGGTGTGACTCAGCTCCACTCGCAAGCTCCCCTCCCAGTCTCACACCATTCCTTCTGCTTCAGCCTCCCAAACAGCGGGACCTCAGGCTCCAGC